TGACCTAACCTAACCTAACCTGACCTAACCTAACCTAACCTAACCTGACCTGACCTAACCTAACCAAACCTAACCTAACCTAACCTAATCTAACCTAACCTAACCTGACCTGACCTGACCTGACCTTAAATTAACTATAGACAGAACACATATGTAAGTCCACACATGTACGCTGTTCGTTAAGTACAGTGAAACCTCCATATAACGGACTTGTCTTCATATATTTCGTTAGAGGGGCGTCTCACACCTAACGGACCCTCCTCGATAAAACGTACTTTCATATCTATATAATTCAACGACCAATAACTTCACAAGAGATGAAGAGTCGGATGGACATGCGTAGAGTCTTCCTTAACAATACCACTAAGTCAAATCACCTCACCTAACTACGCAGTAAACTAAACTGTGATGAGGCAGGACAAATTGTTCTCGTTCTTCCTGGCTGTTGAGCAAAAACCCTTGAGTGTAATGAATTAACCCTTTGAGTAAGATATCTTGGCCCTTTGAATAAGATATCTTGACCCCTTAGGTAAGATATCTTGACCCCTTGAGTAAGATATCTTGACCCCTTGAGTAAGATATCTTGACCCCTTGAGTAAGATATCTTGACCCCTTGAGTAAGATATCTTGACCCCTTGAGTAAGATATCTTGACCCTTTGAGTAAGATATCTTGACCCTTTGAGTAAGATATCTTGACCCTTTGAGTAAGATATCTTGACCCCTTGAGTAAGATATCTTGACCCCTTGAATAAGATATCTTGACCCTTTGATAAGATACCCAACACCGAGATGAGACACAGTAATATTATCCCAGACACCTTGAGAACTGTTCCTATGTTAAGCTCTACAGAGATTGTTGGTTACGTCACCTTTATATGAATCTCCCTCAAGAATTAAAAAAAAAAATATTCATCCTTATTCTATAAAAAGATAAAATAAAAATACAGTTTTTTATCTAAGTTTACTCGTCCTTCTCTCACACTTTTGTTTCTCCTCGTTTACCTGCCCACACATTCCGTCTCCACCCTGATGACATTACTCGGTAAAGTCGGATGGTTTACCTCTAGATCATAACATCTCAGTTTTTGACAACCTATATCTTGCGTGATTTACATCTCATCATCCTCCTCCTCCTTCCTTCCTTCCTTCCTTCCTTCCTTCCTTCCAAGTTTACCTTCACATACCCCTTCACCTTTCTGTCCGGTCATACATTTTGCTTTCTAAACATACAAGTAGCACTAACTTACTTCTACACGGGGAAATACACTTCTAAACATACATAAATACTGTTAAATATTCCTCCTTGAATAAATTATAAATGTAGTCGTTTAAGTTTGTCTAAAAATATCTTACTTCTCTCACAGAAATTTTCTCCAAAACTGCTCTGAGAATTTTATAAAAATTGTTCTTGAATATGTTAGGAGCGTGGACCTGGGCTTCAGTGTGTCTAGCAATATCTTACACAAGAGCTTTAAATAAATGTCCCGCCTGAACTCACTTCAAACCGCTGCAGGATCTTTGTGTTGTGAGGACTTCCCTCTGGCACCTGACTGTGGCAAGGTTAGCATAGCCAGAGAACGACTTGTGAGGAAAAGGTTGTGGAAATAGGTGTTATGATAATAGAAATGCTTTTGGAAATAATTCAGGTTGTGAAAATAGTAGAGGTTGTGGAAATAGAAGGGGTTATGGAAATATAAATTTTTGGTTATAGAAATAGTGTGTGAAAATAGTAGTGGTTGTGGAAATATTACCGTTTGTGGTAATAGAAGGCATTATGTAATATTAGGGTTGTAGAAATAGTAAGAGTTGTAGAAATAGTAAGAGTTGTAGAAATAGTAAGAGTTGTAGAAGTAGCAACGGTTGTAGAAATAGTAAGAGTTGTAGAAATAGTAAGGGTTGTAGTATTAGTAAGGGTTGTAGAAATTGGAACGGATGTAGAAATAGAGTTTTGTAGAAATAGAGATACCAAGTAAAAGATAAATGGAGGAAAGAAACAAGACCAGAACTGAAGATAAGAAAAATATAAGCAGATGAAGGGCGGCCATACACAGATGAAAGACACGATCCATCGACAACACCTGGGACAGACAGGCACGAGGAGCCCTATATACCTGCACTGTTCTGTATGTGTTCTACGGCGGGGCATACATAGAGGTGGGTGGAGTGGCGTGACGGGAGAGGTGGGTGGAGAGGCGTGACGGGAGAGGTGGGTGGAGGGGTGTGACGGGAGAGGTGGGTGGAGGGGTGTGACGGAGAGGTGGGTGGAGGGGTGTGACGGGAGAGGTGGATGAAGGGCGTGATGGGAGTGGTGAGTGGAGAGGCGTGACGGAGAGGTGGTGGAGAGGTGTGACGGGAGAGGTGGGTGGAGGGGTGGACGGAGAGGTGGGTGGAGGGGTGTGACGGAGAGGTGGGTGGAGAGGCGACGGGAGAGGTGGGTGGAGGGTGTGACGGGAGAGGTGGGTGGAGGGCGTGACGGGAGAGGTGGGTGGAGGGGTGTGGACGGGAGAGGTGGGTGGAGGGGTGACAGGAGAGGTGGGTGGAGAGGCGTGACGGGAGAGGGTGGGTGGAGGGGTGTGACGGGAGAGGTGGGTGGAGGGGTGTGACGGGAGAGGGGTGGAGAGGCGTGACTGGAGAGGTGGGTGGAGGGCGTGACGGGAGAGGTGGGTGGAGGGGGGACGGGAGAGGTGGGTGGAGAGGGCGTGACTGGAGAGGTGGGTGGAGGGGTGTGACGGGAGAGGTGGGTGGAGGGGTGTGACGGGAGAGGTGGGTGGAGAGGCGTGACTGGAGAGGTGGGTGGAGGGGCGTGACAGGAGGGTGGGTGGAGTGTGACGGGAGAGGTGGGTGGAGAGGCGTGACTGGAGAGGTGGGTGGAGGGGTGTGACAGGAGAGGTGGGTGGAGGGTGTGACAGGAGAGGTGGGTGGAGAGGCGTGACTGGAGAGGTGGGTGGAGGGGCGTGACGGAAGAGGTGGGTGGAGGGCGTGACAGGAGGTGGGTGGAGGGGTGTGACAGGAGAGGTGGGTGGAGGGGCGGGAGGTGGGTGGAGGGTGTGACAGGGAGAGGTGGGTGGGGGTGTGACAGGAGAGGTGGGTGGAGGGTGTGACAGGAGAGGTGGGTGGAGGGGTGTGACGAGAGAGAGGTGGTTGGAGGGTGTGACAGGAGAGTTGGGTGGAGGGTGTGACAGGAGAGGTGGGTGGAGGGTGTGACAGGAGGTGGGTGGAGGGTGTGACAGGAGAGGTGGGTGGAGGTGTGACGGGAGAGGTGGGTGGAGGGGTGTGACGGAAGAGGTGGGTGGAGGGGCGTGACGGGAGAGGTGGATGAAGGGGCGTGACGGGAGAGGGATGTGTTGCTGTGAGCTTTCTTGAACTGCGTTACGTTACGCTACGCTACGTTAGGTTAGGTTGGGTCAGGTTGGGTTAGGTTAGCTTCTGACTGTTTAATCATCACGTGAAATATAGCTGAAATGTCTAATCTGTTTAGTTTTGTAATAACGCTGAACTGTAGAAAGGCGGATCTTCATAAAATTTTTGATATTTTAATGACTTTTCCTAACTTGTAGAAGCTCGCAGAGATTAATGGACTCGAGCATGAGCATCCACTTAAGTTGTCCACGCTAACACACACCACCTCTACCACTTAATCTCATCCCCAAACCAACATAACTCTCTACCACAATTTATATTATACCAGAAGAAGCTTTCGCTTTACGCTCTACTGAGTCAGCATCACAATAAAGGCGTCAGGCACAATATGCTCCACAGGTCAGTCATTTCATCTCGGTGTCAGCTCTGGTCATGACACAACAAAGTCCATGTAGCCGCAACTCTCAACAATAATATGAGAAATTATATTACCGACCTCATGAGAGATCTATTTCTACCTTGTTTATAAGTACAAACGGAGGTCCTCACAAAAGGATGGATTCATGGCAGCACTCACGGACGGACGTGGCATTCCGACATACTTACGGACGAATGGTTACACGAACGAACTCACGAACGTCTTCACGAACGGATGGGCTCACAGACGCACTCATGGACGGACGGACATACTAATGCACTAACTGACGAACGGATACACTCACTGACGGATGGAGTCACTCACGAATGGAGGCGCTCACAAACAGATGGGTTCACGGACACACTCACGGATGAACGGACACACGAACATGCTGACGAACGAGAAGCACACATTGCCGAGTTCCCCTTCTGCGATATCGGGTCTCTAATACCTGCAGTACCCCACGTCGACGCCCCCCTCGACCCCTTAGTCCCTTCTAGACCCCTCAGCCCCCTAGTCCCCCTTGACTCCCATAGCACCTAGATCCCCTTTGCCCTTAGATCCCCTTATAGCCCCTAGTCCCTATAACCCCTAGATCCCCCTATAGCCCCTAAACCCCTAAGGGCCGACCATCAACAAAATAACAGACTTATAAAGACGCCATAAATCACCTCAGGTAACTCGAGACTCCCGGCAGGTAAGTGGTGGTCCTAACTCAACCTTAACACACCACAAACACTCATGCCTCACCTGGACCAGTAAAGTGAATCAGGAATCAACCAATCAGGAATCAACCAATCAGGAATTAACCAATCAGGAATTAACCAATCAGGAATTAACCAATCAGGAATTAACCCATCAGGAATCAACCAATCAGGAATTAACCAATCAGGAATTAACCAATCAGGAATTAACCAATCAGGAATTAACCAATCAGGAATCAACCAACCAGGAATCAACCAATCAGGAATTAACCAATCAGAAGCAGAAATTAATTAGAGGTCATTGATTCATCTCCATTGGCCTCAGATTACCTCGAGAAATATTAAAAAAATGTATATTCAGTCATTGTTAACGCGAGTAAATGTACGCATCAATTTCATACAGGTTTAATAGTTAACATTATACATTATACATTATACAATATACATTATACATTCATAAATCTCCTCTTAACTATCGTGAGAGTTCAACATATCTGAAACGAAAACACATCTCAAGATCCCTAAAACACATCTCAAGATCCCTAAAACACATCTCAAGATCCCTAAAATACATCTCAAGATCCCTAAAACACATCTCAAGATCCCTAAAACACATCTCAAGATCCCTAAAACACATCTCAAGATCCCTAAAACACATCTCAAGATCCCTAAAACACATCTAAAAATCCCTAAAACACATCTCAAAATCCCTAAAACACATCTCAAAATCCCTAAAACACATCTCAAGATCCCTAAAACACATCTCAAGATCCCTAAAACACATCTCAAGATCCCTAAAACACATCCCAAGATCCCTAAAACACATCTCAAGATCCCTAAAACACATCTCGAGAACACCGTGTAGATAAATGCCTACACCTATGCCTAACTACATTTGCTACGACGTTTCTACTGGGTAAACCACCAAAGGATTCTACCACCAGTGTCCCTCAGACGAGCATCATTAGTCGCTGCCCTTTGTCGGGGATAAGATCAAAGGGTTTACCTCCCGTCTCCTTCAACCTGTATAAAATCTCTCCCTGGCAAGATGGGATCCAGGGAGAAAGATCACTCACCAGGGAGGAAGATCATTCGCCAGGGAGGAAGATCATTCACCAGGGAGGAAGATCAGTCACTAGGGAGGAAGATCAGTCACCAGGGAAGAAGATCACTCACCAGGGAGGAAGATAATTCACCAGGGAGGAAGATCATTCACCAGGGAGGAAGATCAGTCACCAGGGAGGAAGATCATTCACCAGGGAGGAAGATCATTCACCAGGGAGGAAGATCATTCACCAGGGAGAAAGATCACTCACCAGGGAGAAAGATCACTACTACTATTACTACCACCACTATTAGAATCACCACCACTCTTCCTACTCCTACCACCACTAGCTCCTCCTCAAACCACCACCACCACCACTATCACCACCAACAACTCCATCACTCCCCCACTATCACCACCACAATTCCCCCATTCCTCTTTCATTACCACAACTTCCCGTTATCATTATTATCAGTATCCTCCCTCCCTACCACAACAACCACCATTACCGCAACAGCCACCATCACTACATCACCGTACACTATCCCGCCATTACCAACCTTTCCCTCTACACCCACAACATCATTCTTTTTCATCAAACGCCTTTTTATATTTCCACCGTTCAATAGCTGCTGCCACAATAGCTGTAATCTCTCTTGTCTAGCTTAGTGTTTCAGGTCTCACCATTATCCCGACTGCTTCTTTATCCTACTATATACTGACACTATCACACCATCTCGTTTAAATCCTGCCACCATTACCACCCTCACCACTATATGTACAGTAGCTGTCATCACTACTATCTGTAGCTGTCATCACTACTATCTATAGCTGTCATCACTACTATCTATAGCTGTCATCACTACTATATATAGCTGTCATCACTACTATCTATAGCTGTCATCACTACTATCTATAGCTGTCATCACTACTATCTGTAGCTGTCATCACCACTATCTGTAGCTGTCATCACTACTACTGTCATCACTACTATATATAGCTGTCATCACTACTATCTGTAGCTGTCATCACCACTATCTGTAGCTGTCATCACTACTATCTGTAGCTGTCATCACCACTATCTGTAGCTGTCATCACTACTATCTATAGCTGTCATCACTACTATCTGTAGCTGTCATCACTACTATCTATAGCTGTCATCACTACTATCTATAGCTGTCATCACCACTATCTGTAGCTGTCATCACTACTATCTGTAGCTGTCATCACTACTATCTGTAGCTGTCATCACTACTATCTATAGCTGTCATCACTACTATCTATAGCTGTCATCACTACTATATATAGCTGTCATCACTACTATCTATAGCTGTCATCACTACTATCTATAGCTGTCATCACTACTATCTGTAGCTGTCATCACCACTATCTATAGCTGTCAGCTGTCATCACTACTATCTAGCTGTCATGTAGCTGTCATCACTACTATCTATAGCTGTCATCACTACTATCTGCTGTCATCACCACTATCTGTAGCTGTCATCATAGTAGCTGTCATCACTACTATCTGTAGCTGTCATCACTACTATCTATAGCTGTCATCACTACTATCTATAGCTGTCATCACCACTATCTGTAGCTGTCATCACTACTATCTGTAGCTGTCATCACTACTATCTGTAGCTGTCATCACTACTATCTATAGCTGTCATCACTACTATCTATAGCTGTCATCACTACTATATATAGCTGTCATCACCAGCGTGTGGGGTGAGGTGTGGGGGGTGAGGTGTAGGGGTGAGTGTGGGGGGGAGGTGTGGGTGAGGTGAGGGGGTGAGGTGTGGGGGAGTGAGGTGTGGGGAGGGGTGGTGTGGGGGTGAGGTGGGGGTGAGGAGGTGTGGAGGTGTGGGGGTGAGGTGGGGGTGAGGTGTAGGTGGGTGAGGTGAGGTGTGGGGGTGAGGTGTGTGGGTGTGGGGGTGAGGGGTGGGGGGGGAGGTGGGGGGGTGAGTGTGGGGGGTGAGGTGTGGGGGGTGAGGTGTGGGGGTGAGGTGTGGGGGGTGAGGTGTGGGGTGAGGTGTGGGGTGAGGTGTGGGGGTGAGGTGTGGGGGGTGAGGTGTGGGGGGTGAGGTGTGGGGTGGGTGTGGGGTGTGGGGGTGAGGTGTGGGTGGGTGAGGTGTAGGTGTGGGGGGGTGAGGTGAGGTGGGGGGTGCATGGATGTGGGGAAGATGGATAGCGATGTGGGTTGCCTTATTTTCTGTGGGGGAACCGTACCTGACCTAAAGCTCACCATCACCACAGCTCACCACACCACCACACCACAGCTCACCATCACCACAGCTCACCATCATCACAGCCCACCATCACCACAGCTCACCATCACCACGTCTCACCATCACCACAGCTCACCATCATCACAGCCCACCATCACCACAGCTCACCATCACCTCACCATCACCACAGCTCACCATCACCACAGCCCACCATCACCACAGCACCTCACCACAGCCCACCCACAGCCCACCATCATCACAGCACCTCACACAGCCCACCATCACCACAGCCCACATCACCACAGCCCACCATCACCACAGCCCACCATCATCACAGCCACCACACAGCCACCATCCACAGCCATCACCACAGCCCACCATCACCACAGCCCACCATCACCACAGCCCACCATCATCACAGCCCACCAACTTTCAAGCTGTTCTCACCAGATCTTACCAAGTAGGGTCATTTTAACCCGCGTGAATTTCATGGAAGACTTTTCTCTTTTATTTATCGGTGTGGGTGTGTGTGTGTGTGCGTTTGGTTGTGTGTGTGCGTTTGTGTGCTTGGGTGTATGTGTGTGTGTGTGTGTGTGTGTGTGTGTGTGAAACGAGGTTGTATGTGTGTGTGTGTGTGTGTAACGAGGTAGTGTGTGCAGCAGGTAACAGGTAGTGTGTGCAGCAGGTAACGAGGTAGTGTGTAGCGTAGTGCAGCAGGTAACGGGTTGTGTGTGCAGCAGGTAACGAGTGTGTGTGCAGCAGGTAACGAGGTAGTGTGTGCAGCAGGTAACGAGGTAGTGTGTGCAGCAGGTAACGAGGTAGTGTGTGCAGCAGGTAACGAGCACTGGTAACGAGGTAGTGTGTGCAGCAGGTAACAGTGCAGCAGGTAACGAGGTAGTGTGTGCAGCAGGTAACGAGGTAGTGTGTGCAGCAGGTAACGAGGTAGTGTGTGCAGCAGGTAACGAGGTAGTGTGTGCAGCAGGTAACGAGGTAGTGTGTGCAGCAGGTAACTAGTGAGGTAGTGAGCCAGGACGTGTCTTGCATTATGGAGTCAGGTGTTAGGAGGGGGACCTGTCGCGAGACTCACCCGGGCGGTAAACAATAACAGATTGGCCGATTTGGCTAAGACACTTCCTCATCCCAGGTTTTGTGGCCAGACCTGCTGGCCATGTTAGTGCTGGGAGGCGGTGGCCAGACCTGCTGGCCCTGATACTGCTGGGAGGTGGTGGCCAGAGACCTGATGTGCTGGAGTTAAACATTTTTATCGTAGTTTTACGTGGGGCACTCTGTTACCTGAGGCAGGTTTCTATGCTACAATGATCTCTTGTCAGGTTCTTATTGTTGGCTTACACCTGGCTCCCCTCCCCTCCACTTGACTCAGTCGGTATCTCCACATGCCAGAACCATCTCCGCCTAACACCTCTCTTACCCTCGCCACCACTCTCAGTCCCCTCCCGGCTCCTTGACTCAGTTTATTATTTGTCAACTTCGTATTACACATCCATCTCACCGTTCCCATTACAGTTCGCTTAAGCCTTCGTTTGTCATCCTCTTTAACTGGACACGCTTCACTGTCACACAACACGACACTTTTCCAGACACTGTTGACTCTGGTGATACCTTCATTACCATCGCCAGCACTGCTCATGTCACCCAGGTAACAGAGATATATCACCAGTGTTGAGTTTTTCAACCTTGCTAAAGCCACGTGATTACCTGCACAAACAGCACACTTAATTTCAGCATCATCCTTCAGTCACCATTTACACCACTGCATTTCTTCAGTTCCCCCCCAGTGACAGCACCTGGCCATTATCCATTTTCTATCATGACTCCTTTACCCCGGCTGCTAATCATTACTTTACATTTCGCTACAGTCAATCTCATACCTTTCCACTCCTTAAATTTCTCCAACACTATCTACTGTTAACACTACAGTAGGTCAACAGCAGCCAGGGTACACCAGTCCTCGCCTCTTACACCATAACAATAAATAAAACACAAAGTCTCCTTATGTCTGGGTTTTCTATTACTATTTTTAAGCATTTATTCATGCGTCTCTCTCCTAGGACCAGCTATTCACCTTTTAGCTCCTCCTATCATTAGTCTCCACATTATAATAATTACCGTATGTATATAAGTCTTATGAAAAATATGACCACGTTAAATAATATCTTTAGCTACTGTGCAAATATTTATTTCCCCAATATAGGTCAAAACCATATTATACTAAAGTACAAAAAAGCCAAGACCCATGACACCATCTATACAAGTTCTTACTAATCTTTCAACAGACTCGTGACCTCTGACCTTATCCCGCTTTAAGATGACCTCGGAACCAAAGGTCTTATTGTCTATGCTTAATGGACTTCACTTCATATATCGTGGACCCTTCTCGCTGTCTGACGCTCAACATGTAAACAGTACGAGAGAGAGAGAGTGTGGCGATGACTTCAAGACGACCGACTCTTGTTGCCTCTCACACACTTGCATCTCGTTTATACTTGACTTCTATTTATTTTAGCAAATTTATTTCCTGTTTCATAGTTTAGATTAATATATTCCTTTATTTATATAACTATAAAATAA